ATGCTTCTCTAAAACGAAATACTTTGGCTTTCGAGCTAAGCACTGCTATGGGCTCGTGTAGGGCGAGGTCATAGGTCTTCGGAGGGCGTCGACGCGGATAAGGACAAACAAAAGATTGTGCAAATCGGGGTCAATGTGCTGTTTACGTGTGTTATGTCTTTTAGCATTAGGCCGAATGCATCGAAAATGATGTTTGCGAGGTTCAGCAATCGACGCGGGGTCCATTGCTCTGGTGATGCGGGAGTCAAGTACCACTTCATCAAGCCGTATGAAGGCCGTACCGGACAGGAGTTCTGCAGGGTAGCACAAAAGGTCTCCTTTTCTTGTACTGCGAAGGCCAAGGCGGATGGCAGGAAGGCGCTCAGACCAAGGTGAATTGGGTGGACTGGCCATAACGGCGGCTTTTAATGGTCGATGCACTCCCTTGATCAGACCCATGGCGCAAGGATGGTACTCGGTTGTTCGTGCGTAAGCACAACCTAACAAACGACGCAAATCCCGAAACAATAATGAAACACCAAACAGAGAAATCCAATATTCATCCGAAACACGAGCACCAGATTCAGTGAATAAGTCACGTTGAGGAACCCATTGTGTCCTACGGGTAGAACGGTCAATACATGACATAAGATAAGTGAATCTGTAGGAAGGATGTTGTTGTCCAACTATATCCACGTGAACCTACTAAAACTTGCGCCAGGGCGTGAAAAAACGCCTGTTGTGGTGACAGTGTGGTGATGAATCTTACTAGTCTCGCAATTAAGACCATGCTTGACCCAATGTCGAATGTCTGAACGCATATTGTGCCGGCTGAATCGGGCAGTATTAAGCTTTACAGTAGGTCAGATGCTGGGATTTGATAGATCATGAAAATGGTCAAATATGACTCGTTAGAATAACTGTAGGACAACTGAGCTAGGCTTACTAGTTGAGCTAACACAAAAGCTCGTTGTCGGAGTTAGACACGCATGTTACGTAGTCTTTGGAAGGAACTTGGTTAAGGTCGGTATCAGTGGCTTGTGCGGCGGATAATCTCTTCAAATCCATGAATGTCTGTGACAGTTGCTTCAGGTAAGCAAGGAATAATGCAGCAGCAACAGTGTTGTTGGAACTGTCAAGGTACCGAAGGTCGATATAGAACTATGAAAGTTTGTCCAGGTGGCGCGTTTCTTGGGGTGAGTAACGTTCCAAGGCAGAAGGGAAAGCTGACACCACTTGTTCGGGACCTGTCATGAGAATGAACCGGCGTCCATCAAGAAGGTGCCGGAAAGGTTTCACAGTCTAGTACATGGCGAGACTTTCACGGCCAAAGGGACTATACCTGACTTTAACAGGTTGAAGCTTCCGGGAAAAAGGGATAGTGGTTGAAATTCATTATCGGCTAACGGTTGCAAGCCTGCAATGAACTCGAAACATGTAAGCTTGGTCTTAAGGACAAGTGGAACATCCCCGTTGGTTTGCAAGTGCTGGAGCGACGTGACCTCAGTAAACTTCTGCTTGCCTCCAGCGAAGAAGGCTTTAACTTCGTGTTACTGTGATCGCATTTGAATTTCCTTTCAGCAAATCATTGAGCGGAAGGACTAGGTCAGCACATTTGCTTAAGAATCTGCCATAGTACTTGCACCTGTCCAGGAATCCACAGGGGCTTATGAAAGCTAGTGGCATGGTGTAGCCTAGGATCGCGTAGGTCTTACCGGGAAAGGTTCGATGTTATCAACATCGATACTGGGGCGATAAACTCCACCATGGGCTGACCAAACCTACATTTGCCAGCTTACTGGTTATACTGTGATGTTCAAAACAATCATAAATCAGTCGCAGGCGGGAGAGATGTTCTTCCAGGCCTGTGATTGGTATCCCAACATCGTCTATATAAACATATATGAAATCAAGGTCACGGAGGATCTGATCCACAAAGCGTTGAATAGACCGTACTGCGTTACGGAGGCAAGAAAGCATACGATGAACTCCGTATTGGCCAAGGAGAGTAATCATAGCAGTTTTCATGCTGTTTTCCTCCGCTATACGAAGATGATGCTAGGCTCTGTACAGGTACGTTGGGAGAATATCTACGTTTCAGAGAGAACTCGTGGATATGGGTATAGGATACCTATCCGGAACAGTGACGTTGTTAAGGTCTTGGTGCTCTCTTCAGCCGCTAACCACCGCACTTTTAGAAACCAGATGAATTAATGATGCCCCGCAGCTGTTTGTAGGGGAATGATTCCGTGAGCAATCTCGTGTTCGAATTACTTTTGATCGGCTTAAACTTTTTCGGGACGTAAGCTTCTGGTCATAGCGTTCATTGGCGGACCGGTTGTAAAAATGTGATATCGCAAGTCGTGTTTAAGTTTGAGGTCGTTACTCGCTTACCATAACGACGGAAACTGACGGAGCAGCGAAGAGTACTGCGAGCAAACATGTATGCGAATACAGAGCCCAAAAAAGTTACTGAAGCTAGTTTGCAGGGTACACATAAAGACGGGGTATCAGCTAGTAATTTACCGCAAAGTAATTCAAAATTAAGAGCGAACTTTCTAAGAAACTTGATTCCACTGATCGGCTTTTGCATATCAGCGATTATAAAACCAAGGATAATTTACGTCGTTGACTTGGGCTTAAAGTAAAGTAAACCTTAAATATTTCCTAAACCATATTTCGCGATTTTAGATCCATTGGCTGCCTGTAGCATTGTTAGGGAACGGGGTAGAAGGCTGAGATCTACGCCAATCTCAACCAAGAAGTAAACTTTCGTTCTTGAGTCAAGTGCATGTAGTAAAAAACAAAACAAAATGCTTATTCTCGACTAAGCGTGGCACGCCTTTCGCAGGCGTGATCAAGTTAAGAGCACAAAAGGTGATCAGTTAATATACAATGGAACAAAGGGATGGTCGCATGTGTCGGTGTATGAATGTCTGTAAGTGTGAATGTCGGCGTGTTTAGCTGTGGTTATGATGTTTGTAAACGTTTTTCTGCCCTTTTGCCCATGCTTGAACGTGTCGCCAGTGTTAAATGGATGCTTGATGGCGGTGGACTTGAAGCGGTTGTCCGGATAAGCAATGGGTGACTATAGTTGGTGACGAGTCACAAGCGCCGCGTCACAGTGTTGTTAAACGGACATTTGTGACATCTTATAGGGAAAACCCACCAAGTCCTGTACACTGCCTCCGAACCATTTGATGGAAGGGGTAAACTCGAACCAACCAGCTGGCACCAAGAGGAGGTTGTTCAACTAGCCAGCAGTAGGCGACTAACGACCTGGCCAGCGACGGTCGCTGCCATTAATGGCTGGCCATGTGGTTTCCCGGCCAAGGTGTTGCAAGGGCTTTGGGTGGTTGACACGCTGGACGGCATTTACTAGCTGCGTCTCCGAAGCGGCAGCGGTAATAAACCTAACGACGGTACTGCCGTGTATGACGCCTGGTTCGGAAAATGGATCTACACGAAGAAACACGAGCACTCCTGAGATAGGACTAATTACGCCCCAAGTTTGTTCGTCTGTCCTCGATGGAAGTAAGCAGAGTGATTCCTGAAGAGACGCCTGTACCAGCTTTGGTTAATGAGACAGAAGTTTTAATGAAGTGCTCGTGAACTTTATCAGCAACTTGTGCCGGCTTTTCAAGCAGGAGACCGTCGTAGCCTACAGGTAGTGTAACCGTCGTATTCGATGGAAGACAGCCCACAGTTGGCGGAATATGGAATAGCCAAGGACGGAGGAACCGAGTATTGAACGGATAGCCAAAAGTATCTGAGACGGCCTTCTATCTCCGAGCTTGACATCAGAGAGTAAATAGTGAAGCCGGGTTTCGTTTGAGGATGTAGTGTTGTTTAAAATAGCTGCATTAAGTTTATCAGAGGGGCACCTACGGGTCTAAGATCACGGATGTCGATAACCTCTGAAGCGTTGTTGGATATTAAGTGAGCAGTTACTTGTGAAAACAGTGGATTGGGTTATGATTCTACGAAAATGAAAAGTTGCTCTTACTTGTATGAATCACACTCCTGGATTAGAAAAGTCAGCCGAAGGTAACGCGAAGCCAAGAGAAGGTTTAAAAGCATTAACAAACGGAGTTTGATCAGACATTGTGAAAAAAGAAAGCAAGATTATATACAAAAATTAATGAAATTGCGGGTCACGAATTATGTAAGGAACCGGTAAACGAGAATACCAAGTCAGTTAAATTAAGTTCATCCTACATAAAGAGATCCTGAGTTGCTTCAGTGTCTGACAGCAGTAAAAGCGCAAGCTATGCGGATGAAGGAATAGGTATATTAGAATGATGGATCAGTTAGGCAGCAGCGTGCGCAATCACAAAAACACACTGGCGGCAATCAATGATGAAGCACGAGTAGACAACCTCGAACCAGATGTTTTCTATGCGGTTAATTTATACAAAAATCTATATGTACTGCAGCGTGATGTAGAAGTGTAAAAACGAAAATAAGAACATTGCTTATAGTCGCTACATGCCTACGCACAAATGCCATTGGCTACTCTTGCGTGTGGCATACAATACCTAGCCAAAAGCACCTTTAACTTGTAACAGAATAACTGTACGACTACCTAGCACAACTTATCCCATCAGATTTTGACAGGAATAATAACATACGCTGACTATTTGTGTGCAATTCTGTAGAAGACATGAAACCTGGCATCTAATTTTAAGTTCCCGCCACTCGCGAACATAATGGTCCCGTTTGAACTCGAACATAATAGTTTGCCAATATTGCCGAGTGTCAGAATTCTAACTATTCTATTTCGTAAATACCTTTTAGCATTGTGGTCTTTTTAACTTTAGATCCCGTTTTTTCACTGATTTCTCGCATTTCGCTTTCATCCTCGCGGTCCATGTAAAACGCTCCGCGGGCCCCACATTTCTGTTCCCGTTGCACCGCGCAACATGGATGTCGGCATACCTGTGGAGGTCGAAGGGGCTCATGGGGAGTTCTATCCGGTAATTTCAAATAAAATGTTAATTTTTCACTTTATAGGGGGTCGTTTATGGGTTAAACTCGTTGGAAGAATATAAGGTTAACTTACTGGATCCATCGCATTGCAACTGTGTAGCAGATGTCACAGTTCCACCATCATCTATGCGCCTCCCACCTGAACTGTCCGGGTTTTCCTTCGATCCGATCCAGGGTCAAGGGGTCGACGTCCTCATACCTTGTATCGCTAGCCCCGAAGCTGCAGGAGATTCAGGCAATTCTCCATCGCCTATCTCTAAGCTCTCGGCTTGGTGGCCTGGCCGCGTAAAGAAAGTCGGTGGAGGATTTGTAATTGTTGATTTGCTTTCGACTTTTGGGAGAGAAACGTCGACTTCTAAATCCCTTCCCGAGGGCTTGGAAGTAGTTAATGGTCGCGTCAATATTCCTCCACCGTCCTCCATCGAAAAAACCGACATTGTTGAAAAGCACCAACTCCGACCTCGAAGCCATCAACCAAATTTCCACTCATCCAGCTTCTACATGCATCCGATCGACATTCCTGATGAGTTGGAGTCCCAGTAAGTTATTTTTGCATTCCATTATGGAACTGTCTAGTTGTAAGGAGCCATCTAATTACCAGCACTTCGCACGACGATGCGGATCGCCCGTGCTGATGTGTATGGCTCCGGAAACGTTGAGACCGCCGACACCGATTAAGAGTGATGACAATGGAACTTATGACCTCCGAGCTCGCTTGCTAGTTATTTCGACTGATGTCTCTATTATCAAAAGAGCAGCCGTGATCGACAACACCTTCATTCACATGCTTCGACAAAAAGTTCTAATATTGCAGCAAACAGAAGAGCTCTCTAAGAAGCTGGAGGCCTCCCGCGTCAGCCAAGTACGGTCGTTAAATTCGTTTACATCTGATTTAGGCGCCGGCTCCTTTCATACAAGACGTTTACGTACCCGAAAACCTCATTCCCTACGCAATAGGCTTCCAGGGCTCAAATATTCGACGCGCAAGCAGCATCGAGGGAGTTTTATCAATCAAGCTCAATCGGTCCACCGGTGTTTTTCGCGTCTCGGGGAAGGTGAGTTAATTTCTCCCACTTTTAACATTGACTGGGCTGAACTATCCAAAGTAATCTTCATCCGTCTCCCTGCATGGACATTTTGATATACTTCGTGGTGTTCTCCCACGTGCTCCATGCCCATGTTCGATGTTGTCTTATGGAGCTTTAAGGTTTATGTACGTACTGTTGGGTTGTTGCCCATACTCGGAAAGCTATGGATCTGTGCGTTCAAGTATTCGTGTTTCTTACCCTTTTTCCATTTCATTCAGCCCGTCAATCAGCAGTTGTCTTGTTTGCTTCTGTGTATACTTCGCGCATTCTGGTAACCCCGTGTCCGCGTTCGTTTTGGAACTTGAGATCAAGCTTATAGTGCTTCATCATTGATTTTCTCACCGTGACATTTAGATAGCTTTATACATATGTATTCAGTTCACTTCGACAACCATCACTCGCATACGATCGTCGCACCGAGACTGGACCTTAACTTGTTGCTATGGTTTGTGGATCTCTTCTCTCCATTGAACTATACTAGCTGGTGCCCCGGACTCCTTGAGAGCTACTCTTGCCAGACTAATCAATGGTTAAAGGTCAGACGAACTGTCTCCTGGTCCTCCAAGAAGAAGTTGCAAATTGGATGACGGTCACTTCGTTGAACACAGTCCATTGCACATCCCACCTGCCTTGCGGACAGACTTTTGAGTCAAAGCCTTCGGTTGAGAAGGCTGCTTGTTCCCCTGTCTAGGTCTGGGTACCATGGCAGTATCAGCCAACGGATAACCACGATTATTTCCTCATACATCGACCACATCCTCCGTCGGCTGTCGCGCAGGTTTACAAGGGTTGCCTTATCTGCTGTATATAGCACGGTGGATAGGCAAAAGCACCAGTTTCTCCGACTCCCTCGCGATCCCCATTAGTAACTTTTTCCATAGTTCCCCGCTTAATCGACAGTAACCGCGATGCCTGTGTAGTCACAACATCCGCACCTAACTCCCCGCACCATCTACTGGGCGCCTATCGGCTGCAGCCTTCATATGGTCACGATATCTGGTTTCGTTGGCGGTTTTTTAACGTTCGCACTCTAATGCAAGTAGGTCAGCATGCTGCATTCGCACGCACGTTGGACACTGAGTATTGACGTGCGTTGCGTGTCCGAAGATAAGATCAATGTTCTCCACGGAGTTGTTAACTTAACTCTACTTGTTCTCTCGTTATTGGTTACAAGCGGGCCCGCTGCCCAAAGGTAGCGAGCTTGTCTTGCAATCTGGCGGCGCAGGTTCGAAGCTGCGTAGGGGCAGAGCGACCCTGGTAGTATCCTTAGCCCATCTGCGGCCAGTGGTGTTTGCGCGACAGCGGAGCCTCGATACTGCGTACAAGCGTACTGCTGATGCCTTTTATTAGTTGCACGCATCCCGAGACGCTGATGTGGCAACTGCAGGTTAAGCTGGTGTGGGCATCCTCAGCTCCAAGGTTGTCATCGATGGTTGACTGGATTACCTTCTACAGACATTTGTCATCATCAACAGCAGTACATCAGCCATTTGAACTGATGCTTCGCTGCCATACAACCATGAGAACCTATGAAATAAAGAATAAGAAGAGGGAGAGAAGGGGGACTTACCTGAAAACCTTAATGCCTTAAGCAAACATTCAGGGTCAAGGCGCCTACACCTTGTGTAGACAACACCGTCACAAAAGCTGGCTATCGTGCAAAGATAAGACGGCATCAGTGAGACAGCTTCCTTGCGGCTTTCATTGCCACACGTCATAATCAGTCATTACCCTGCAGATAACTCAGCATCAAACACACTTTAAACAGGCAATCCAATTAGAAGACGGCAGCAGACGTGCAGCTGGTGTCGGTTGCGAGCCATATCCTGTAAAGTCTCGAGCCAAGAACAAGGTGAGCCATGTGGATTCCTGCTCGGAAGGCGAGACGTACCAATAGCATCCAGTTTGGCCGTCAGTGACTTCATTTCAGGCTGCCAAGTCAACTTCTGTCCATCTCAAGTCTTGCGTCACCCAACACCTGGCAGACTAAAGAAGGCCCTCCTAGGTAAGCGGTGACCAGGCATACCTAGCACGTGCCCGAGCCAACGCAAGGTATTCAGTGCTATCTGTTGTTCTAGGGAGCTAGCATGATTATCACCACCTAGTACTCACCTACGCACATCATCGTTGCGGACAAGCTGGTGCCATCCGACACCAGCAATGCTTCGCAGACAACGATGATCAAAGACTTGAAGGCGCCTCAGATCTTCAGACCGAAGGGGCCAAGTCTTACTATAATACAGCAGAGTGGCCCTCACTGTGGCCTTGTATACCTGGCCTTTCAGACGGAGGGAAACTCCCTTCTGCCGCCAAAGATGCCGCAGGTTCAAGAAGGTAGCTCTGGCCTTTGCAATGCGTGAGCTGACGTCAGTTTCTATGCGCCCATCATTGTTGATGCAGCTGCCAAGGGGTCATGCAGTGGCTGGTGGTCCTGCAGTGACACTGCATTTTAAAGGTGCGAAGTGCATACCAAATAATGGGACCACTCTGCACAGGCTATTCAGGGTTGATTGTGCCGCCCCAACATCTTCGAAAAGAAAGACAATATCGTCCGCATAATCTAGATCAACTAACCTTTCACCAGGCAGCACTTTAATGCCTACATCGTGAGATTCCGCAAGAGAACACTCCATGATAGAATCCACGACGAAATTGGTGGCCTATCGGTTAGCTTTCCGACCACAAGTGGCGTCCGTCAGGGTTGTCCGATGTCCCCCATTTTTTGTTCAGACATTTGTGTGCATCCCGTTTGACGTTATCAACTGACGTTAGTCCACTAACTAGTCTTAGACGCTGTTTGTGGTCTCCGCTTATGTCCCTGACTACAGTTCTAATACCGTTAGGGACATTCTTTCATGTACTGAACACGCTGCTGCGCAGTGGTACCAGTTCAGATATCATAGTTCTTGTAGGGGATATGATTGCGCAAATAGGTTGCCTGGGCTCTTCAGAAGCTCAGCTAGGTGATGATTATGGGCTTAACTCCGAACGGACGGATAACAGCGTGCGTCTGCTGCAACTGTATGCGGAGCACCAACTGTTTCTTAGTAGCACCGATTTTAGACACAGTGGGCGCCGAAGTGCCACGCATACTCTTGTAGCTGACCAACGATGGACCCAGTCACAGGTGGTGTGGTTCCATCCTGGATTGTCGCTCGTTCTGGAATACGTGCGTCGACTCTGATCATGCTTTGTTATGTTGTCATTTTGCCATGAACCGCCTACAAAGTGTCTCCCTCGATTGGCAACTGGAAAATTATCTCAGTGCTCGGTCAGGCAGGCGTACCAAGATGCTCTACGTACCTAGCTTTCGCTCTATCGTCCTAATAACAGCGTCAGTGGAATAGGATGGCGGCCGCCATGCACAGTGTGGGAGCCTCTTTGCAGCACTATTAGTCGTCACTTCACCAGTCACTAGATATCCAAGAAATCGGTGAACCTGTTAGAATCATGAAGCAAACTTCCAGCTGGCTCTTAGCCCAGTGTAACTAGGTGGGCTGTCGGGCGCGAAGTAAAACGTCTGCGTGCTGACAATGAAGCCTGGTGGACTAGTAGGGCTCAATAAATGGAGGAAGCAGGAGCAGTAGGCATTTATTTCAAGCTCTTCAAGCTGCTCCGCATCACATCACCATCATCATTACCAATACGTTAGCTGAAGATAACAAATACATCTCAGCTAAATTTCCGCAATGCAAAAATACTAAAACAACTACAGCCTGCAAGAGGTTCAAAAAGCAAGTGGTATGGTGTTAAATATCACATTAGGCATTTTGTATGTCAATTTCATTACTTTCGACCAAGTCATCGCTCGGCCTACCTTCCTGTTCCATCCAGACCCCGGGCGCGCAAACGTACGTCGCGGGAGTCGGTGTGCCGGCTGGTGACTGAGTGGTCTGCGAGCCTGATTTGCAATCATAAGGTCACCGGTTCGAATCCGCGTAAGAGTGGGTGTCCTCGCGGTATACTCAACCCGCGCGTGTCTGATGGTGGTCGCTCGACAGCGAAGCGCCGTTACGGCGTACAGCTGACCCATCACTATAGGTGTGCTCTTTCCAGGCACCAACAGATTGCCGTTGAGTTGCTCCCGAATATTTGGCTGGCGGACTGTGGTGCGATACGAGCTAAGGCTTCAGTTCTGAACTGTGAGATCTCGATGGCCGACTCTTTCCACTTAGCCTGGGATAAGCCGTACCTTACAGAGGTTTCCACTCCCTATATTCCACTCATGAGGAAACGAGGGTTACGGGCAGACAAGTACCTGCTCAACTAACGGTCTAGCTGCCGGCGAACCTACCAAACAGCTACATCAGCCAGTACCTACGCCAGTTATCGAGAGATTAGAAATGAGTGTAGGCAACATCTCAGGACTGCTTGTCTCCAATACGAGCAGGATTTTTTCTTACTCGGTCTCAGCTAATCCCAAGAAGTTCTTTGCTTACGTTAAAAGACGCCGCGGGGCAAAACTGTCTATACCAGCGTTATTGCGAGCAGACGGACCCGAGCGCAAACTGTGACAAGGGTAGTATACTTAGTGAACAGTGTACTTGGGTCTTTGCTAGGGCGACCTCTTTGCCACATGTTTTATTGGTTTCAAGAGTTTCAGAGGATTCTTACTTAGCTGCGTTTAACATAATGGTGACTCAGGTCTTCGAGCTACTGCAAGGCATTAATCCCTCTAAAGTTTCTGGTCCTGTTTCATTTCATCCGATGCTGTTGCATGCATTGGGCGCTGAGCTGAGTGGTCCTCTCACAAGCGTGTTTTCAATATCACTTGACAGCTGCGTCTTACCTTCGGAATGAAGGGAGGCAATCATCTGTCCGCTTGATAAATGTGGTAACAGCGCTCTACCCTTGAATTACCGGCCTGTCAATTTGACAAGCGTAGCAGTCGAGTTGTTTGAAAATCTGTTAAGGGATTCGGTGAACCACCTGAATAGATTTAACCTCACTGTTGTGCAACATGGATT